TCGCCTCTTCTTCTCATTTATGCCCGGGGACTCGGATTTTCGCTTCTATTGGTACTATGTGTATATCAAGGAAATAATCGCAAAAACTATTAGGTGCATGACATGGAAGTAGGTGGACGTGACGTGACTTTTTTAAGGGTCAGACCCTAGATTTCGATAAACATTTTCGTCGAAGACAATCAACTACCGCGGAATAACCACGGAAATATCCATTCTACAAACGAGTAGCACTACAAGTTGTGTGAATTCTATATGACAATGACTCCGGAAATGTGTATTCTGCAAACGAGTAGCACTACAAGTAGTGTGAATTCTATATGACAATGATGATTTACTGTAATTCCGCATAGATACTAGCTAAAAGCCTAGACACGTGTTTCGCCGCGACAAACGAGTAGCACTACAAGTAGTGTGAATTCTATTTGACAATGATATTATGCCGTACTTCCGTCTAGATACTAGCTATATATTTATATATATGTGGAGGGGAACCGACAAAGACTAGGGAGACCGAAATGTCTATTTTTGGCGTATAAGCCGTCATCAGCCATTTATACCCAATCCCAGGTGTGGATCACCTGGGATTCGAACCCGAGACCTTTGGTCATTGAGTTTACCACTACCATTCCAATCCATCATATATCTGAAGTCGCTAAAGAGACTGTTTACGATTATTCGAACACGAGCCTGAAGGCACAACGGGACAAGTCTGATCTCTTATCAGATATATCGAGTGAGAAATCTACTCATATACAGGGTGTCCCAGAAAAAGTTATACACATTTTAAATAATTGTAAATTTGGTGCTTGTTATAATTTTATTATTCCAAAAATGTAAAAATATTTGCGAATATATTTTTATTGTTTTTTTCCCTGCATGTACTCGCATTATGCCACGTTGCTATGGGAAAAGGTATATCCCAAGATAAGTCCATGTTCTTAATGACGACGATCTAGACCGAAAAGTACAGTATGGCGAGTGATATTTCGAACAATTTCTGGATCAAAATGGACGTCTGTTTGAGGACATGCATTGGAAAAATAATAAAAGGAGACGTGTAAATATTTTTACAGTTTTGAAACAATAAAATTATAATAAACACCAAGTTTACAGTTATTCAAATTGTGTTTACATTTTTGGGACACCCTGTATATATATATATGATAGATAGGGCGGCACACACCGATCCTTTTATGGGACGTACCCGCCCCTTCGTGCCTTGCTGCTCAATATAGAGCCCTCGGGGACAGTCGTATAGCGACTAGTGATACAGGCAAACGCGAACCAAACCAAACTCCGAGCTATATATGTATTTATATTTCTATATGCAGACTAGTATTACCGATAAAGAAAAATTAGATTCGGATGGCCATTTCTGGCTTACTAGCCGTCATATGCCAGCCTTGGTCTATCTCAGGTGTGGATAACGTTGGATTATAATCTAGGCTATTTTGTTACCAAGCCTTTTTGCGTAAACCAATAAGCAATCAGGAATATTGACTATCCGCTACCTAATCTTTTTATAATGAAATACTACGTTGTTTTGTCTTTCTTCGTATCTAACCCCGATCTTAGTACTGTTTCCAATTAGACATCTTCTTGAAGAACTACAGCTAAGGTTTTCGCGCGCTCGACATCAACTGGGTAGTCATTAAAACAGGTTCTCTTTGGAAGTGCATTTAATAATAAAAATAGACCTTAGTCTATGGAATGTTTTCCTATCAGAGTCGTCAGGCATGCGCTCACTTCTGATACGCACTCGCTTTGTTTCAGTAATTGGTCTTGAATTGGGCTACGCGAATCGATACCCCACCATCATGGATGGCAGCCTAACAACGTACGAAATGACTGCTCTCCGACCAAACACAACTTACCGTCTGATAGTGATACCCCGCACCAAGGCTGGTGCGGGCATTGAGGCCTTTCTGGACATTGCAACTCTTGACGCCACTATTGGTGAGTCCGTTCAAATTTGCGCCCTTTCCAGCAACTGTCCCTCTTTAATTCAGTTGATCCAGTTGTGCAAAATTCGTGGCCTCGGTGGAAGTCGAACAGTTGAGACTGTCAATCGCCAAATGAGTTCTATAGCAAGCCCGAGCTACACGAAGCCTCTTTATAAAACCTTCCAATCGCCTCTAATGTTAAGAGGACAGACGATCTGAGTTGGGATGAATATTTTATGTCGGTAGTCTTCCTGTCAGCTATGGGAAGTAAAGATCCAATTACACAGGTCTGAGTGTGCATACTAAATTTCGAGAAAAAATAGTTACGGCCGGTTATAACGGTTGGCCAGTAGGCTTATGCGACGAGTAGATGCCCTGAACTAAGGGTTTGGAGGATTCCCTTCAAGAAAAGCATCTGTAGGTTTGCCACGCCGAAATTAACACAGTGTTCAACAAAACCTCAGCTGACGTTGAAAACTACATGCTGTATTCTAATCCCTTTCCGTGCAATGAGTGTGCGAAAGTTATTATTCAATGTTGAATTAAGGAGGTAATTTGCTTTTACGATACTGAGACCAACAATCCGCAACACCGAGCCGCCAAAATCATATTTGCGAAGTCTGGTGTAAAAACGACTCAATTTAACATGACTATTGGGGACTATCCATTTCAGTTAGCGAAGCATCAGTGCCACATGTTTCTGCGCCGAAGGTGTACGGGGCTTTCACGACTAAATTCTGGAACTATTTTTAAATAACTCTCCAGCCTGGGCAGTCAGCTTGCTGTTCCGTAATGGTGGATTCCATACGTGCAGTAAGTTGGGCGGGTAAAATCGATCCAAGTGGGATTAAATTTACGGCTCGCGGTGAGCCTCGTAGCTCAGTGGTAGAGTTTTGGCTGCCGTGTAAGTTCAACTCCCACCGAGGCCGCAAATTTTTTCACAATTGCGTCAACTGAATAAAGCGAACCTGTCAGACTTCCCTAACAACTTTCCTTGCCACTAATAACCCGCTATCATCAGTATCTGCATCAACTTCATAAACGGCATGTTAAAAGCAAACTGTTTCTTACTTTTTCTTTCAGTTTTTCTGTATCCATCAACACGCTAACAATCGTGGGTGGGGTTGGGGGCGTGTTAGGCGCTGCGTTTGCAAGCTTTTGCTGTGAACTTGAAAAGTCAGTTTATTAGGCAAAACATGTTTTTCGGCAATTCTTCGTCAGACCTTTAACTTTGCAAAACAATGAACATTTGAACGTGTACAAAAATCAATAATTGTCCTAGGTGGACTTTGTCAGTCTGTGCAAGTGGTCGGCATGTTAAGTGACCGACTGGCACTCTTGGCTGGGGCGATGTGCTATCTTCACCTGGCGTTGGCGTCGGCCACGGAAGGGACAGGGCTTGTGTTAGAGTTTTCTGATAGCAGAG